AAGCAGTGGTATCAACGCAGAGTACTGTATTTCCGTAGGCTCGTACCTCGGAGAACTTTACAGACTGGAGCCTGGGCATGCACCTTTTGATAGCACAGTTCCTAGTGATTTTGACTTAGAAAAGCAAGCAGAAAAGTTTTCTGACAAATTCGCGAAAAGTGCAGGCAAATTTACGAACTTTCATGACTCAGTTACAGTCACCTCACAATATCTCTACAAAAAGACCCTGTCTTCTTCAAAGACCACTATTTTCGTGAACAGCGTGTTCGAAAACCTCTATAAGCGAAGTTTCGTTACAATTCAAGAGCATCAACATTTTGACCAATATCCATCGGCGAGTTTCCAGAGCGTAAAACGAGAAAAAATGAAATAACCCGAACATCCCGGGAAACTTGCTCATAGAGGTTATCTGGCCTGCTAATTTCGAAATTCACATCTGCTTAGCAAGATAGCTTCGTATTCTAGGGTTGTGGCAAGTAGAAGTTCCTGCGACAAGATTTTTCCCTAATTCACCAGTCCTTCTATCTCCCTTCGAAAGAAGTTTGCGGAGACTATTTAGCGATCATTAATCTGCAAGGGAGGTACTACCGAATTGCCCTTACAATAGTCTACTAGGGGCAATGCGCGCTACTTTACATCTTTGCAAAGTGACGTCGCAGAAAGACTCGCGAATACTGAAATAGGAATATCAAGGGTATGCTGCATATCGAAAGGTTCGCCTTGACGAGCTGAGCACGATGCTTTTTTCGGATTCAGAATACATTCATTCCGAAGGAAGTTATGACAAATAGAACTTAAGAAAGCGTGATTTTTCCAGAATTCACCAACGCTTGTGTTTCTTCTGGAAAGAAATCCGCAGCTATACTTTAGTGCGCTATAATTTACAAGAACCGTACTATCGAATAAGCAGTGGTATCAACGCAAGTACTGATAGGCGCTGCGTTACATCCTCGCAAACAGACCTCCGCAGAAGAATTTGAGAAAACTGGAAACGGAATCGGATTCAGAATTTATTCATTCTGAATGGAGTTATGGCGTTGTGTAGTTTGCGTGATTCGCGTGATTCCGCGGAAATCCCGGAATGTCGCAAAACTCCCAGAACGTTGCGGACTTTCGCAAAACCCCGGAATTTCACGACATACAAAGAAAATCTGCATTTTTGTGAGCTGTTGTAGATAGCAAGAAATAGAGTAGAGCATAAGAATTCAAAAAGACTTCGATAGGGAGGCAACAGCCTAGTACGCGCATCGTTCGCGGGCGTGTGGACTCTGATGGAAAGATGCTCGAACACGCGTTTGCGCCGTTTCGCACCTTAGATCGATCACCTTTGTGGATCTGGATTTGTATGTCATACGCAGAAAACCGAAGTGTTCAGCTCATCTTTGAAACTCCTGTTGACAGGCGACTCCGTTCATTCACAATTTCTAGAGCGGTGAATTTTTTTGAAAGAGCATCTATCTACTGCACCGAATGCGCAATTGAACCGAAAAAGCCTGTAGATTACATTCCATAAGAGATAGAGCGGCAAAAACTCGCACAGCGTTTCCTAAAGTACATTCCTTACTGTATGTCAAAAATGATCCAATTTTGTGATATCATCAGTGATAAATGATAAAATGGTGATATCAATGATAACGACAGATAAGACTGGCTTAAATTCACGCGGTCGATTCCCACGTTCATCTTCCATATAGGTGCAGAATTTCAGCCCAGGCTTCGGCGTGAAGCGAGTTGAAGCGAAAATGCCATTTCAGGTAAGAACTGGCAGCAATGGCATGTGCCGATGAGAAATCGATCGATTGCTGCAGCGAGGGATCTACCAATTGACCGAAAAATAGAACTAGGAAATCCTGTAGATCACTTATAATGAGAGAAAGAGCGATAGAAATTCACACAGCGTTTCCTACACTACTTTTCTTACCATGTGCCAAAAATGATCCAAAAATATGATGTTATCAGTGATAAATGATAAAATGCTTATATCAGTGATAAGGGTAAATAAAAACTGCCCATTTTTTCGCGATAGTTTTCGATAATGGGAACTTCGTACCAGAACCTCCTATTCGCGATTTACACGGTGATAGATGTTCACAAAAGCCTTAACATAGAAAACAACAAGGTATCACCATATGTCTACCGTGTCACAATGAATTACGGACATATTGTATACCAGAAGATTCATCTCATCAAGCTGAAGCCAAATCTTCACGCAGATTACAAATAAAGCTGTTTTAAAAGAAGTTATAGCTAAATCCCGCTTATCCCGCAAATCCCGCGAATCCCGCAAATCCCGCGAAGTCGCGAATCCCGCGAATCCCGACAATCCCGCGAATCCCGACAATCCCGTAATTTTGGACAAATTCTACCGCTGCAACTGTAGAGAAAGGGAAACAAAAAAGAGGCAAAGCACGTTCAACGGTACTTTGATGTTTGACGCAGCCTGCATGAGCACAACATTGGGCAGGCACTCGTAAATTTATTAAAACTTACTTTGATTGTGCTCAAAGCTTTCCCATTTTTCAAATACAGCATAGCTTTAGCGGAGCAATATTCTACACAGCTCGGTAGAGCTTGCAGGATATATATCTAAATCCAGCAACGGCTATTTTGATAAATCAGAATGCATGCTTCTTACCTTTTTGGTTTTTTTCTCTAGATATCTCAGCAATTTCATAAAGAGATCAAAATTCTCGTCTCTGTCAATTGGTTGCATTGCATTGAGCGGAGCTTTCATAAGAATTGCTCTAATAATGTACTGGTGCTTTGTAGTTGCCGGACAGAAAGTGACAAACTAACCTTTCAATCAAGAATACGACATCTGGCTTCAATTCCTCGACTACTCCCGTAAAGTTGAAGGGAGTTGGGCATTTGGGGTGAATCATTTCACATGCTGCAAATATCTCTTTTTATGCAAGTTTTCTTAACAATAGCCTTTGATGCTGACTTACTACCGACACAAAATATGTGAAAATTTCTTGCATACGTTTTGTATGCGTTGTAAATGAGATCTCCTTGATTACAAGCGAAGCTGTTTCCCGCAACCAGTATATCCACCATGCCGTTTCCTTTCTAAGAAAGAACGTTTATTTTGCAAAGCTCAAGGGATACAGAACTCTAACAAGTTGCTGCTAAAAAAACTATCAGCTGGAAGTGTGGAGCTAAAACGCGAGTAGACTTTCCGTCAACGATATTCCAGATTAGGATATTACGATTTTCGATGATGTCATGTGATGAATGCATTCTATAATACGTTTCATTCTGCTGCTAACTGCTGGCAGATCAGGCTGTCTTCACCTTTCAAAACGCTGAGATAAAAACAAACTTCACCTCTTCTTATTGTCTCACTGCCTCAATAATGAAAATTACGTACTTTACATGTTGAATTGAGCTTAGAGATTGCTGATTATTTACAGCTTAAAAAAAAACAGATACTAACACAAAGCACAGATATATTAGGTTGGCGCATAAGTTCTGTCCAATTTTTTTTTGCTTTATATTTGGAGCAGCTGTTGTAAAAAAATTTCAGCTCTAATGCGGCACTGTTAACATCATTTGAAAGCGCGTTTCTTGCTCATTCTAACGCATATTGAATTTCCATAAATTTCTTAGTATAAGGAGATTTGAGACCTAAAATTTTCAAGTGGCCGAGGTACGTTCTCACCCGAAAAATGTGTTCTTGCGAGAAAATCTCCGCAATGCGCCCTTAAAGGTTAACTTCTTTCATTGGTTGCGGAATAAGGGTGTAGTAGGCTAGTATATGCAAAAACTCACAAGGGAACCGTGTAGAGCCAAAATGGCCTTTCCAGATGAGACCCATACTGCTTTGAAGAGTATTAAGCGGTGATTCCAGATCTGCCTTCCAAATCTGCCAAGCGCCTCTAGACGCCGAGTTATGACCGTTTATCGGAACGCAGAATTTAGATAAAATTGAATGCAGAATTTAGATAAAATTGATTGTTACAGTCTTTCCAGCGCTCAGATAAAGCAATGTTAAGTGTTAGCATATTAAACAAAATGTATCCATTGCATAAACAGCTCTGATACTTGACACTGGAAGAATTGAGGAAATTTGGGCGATTTTGCTTTAGTTTTGCGTTCAATTTTCTGAAAAACGAGCATAACTCGGCGTTTAGAGGCGCTTGGCAGATTTGGAAAGCAGATTTGGAATCACCAATTAATGCTCTTCAGAGCAGTATGGGTCTCATCTGGAAAAGCCAATTCGACTCGACACGGTTCCCTTGCCAGTTGTATGAAGAAATCGTCTTGCTAGTAAAAATTGCTGTCGTACATTGATTTTTTGTATGAATGTTTTGCGAGCAATAACTTTCTGCGAATACAAGTAGTTGATGAGTTCAAAGTTGGAGTTGCTAGGGTAAAGCAAGAGGTAGGAGGGCCCTTCAACCAATTCCTTGGCGCCCATGTCGGTTGTAAAGTTTTTATGATTCGTAAATAGGCATGCACACATGTGCTGAAGCGAGGTCAAAAAGTGGCTTCTTTTTTGCTCGGTCAAAAAAATCTCTCGGCAACGCAGCCCCTATGGGGTCTTTTATCTTACAGAATTATCTACGAAAATTTCTCTATTTATCCATTGTTAGATAAGATGCCTATTAATTCTCATAAGGAAGCATAGGTGCAATAGGGGAAGCCGGACCCTCTCCAGTTGGAGGGGGTTTTTCTGCTACTCCCATCCTTGTAAGGTGAAGGGGGTAAGTGAGCCCTGAAAACAAAATGCCCCAATAAGTTAACCATTCGAAAGCTGAGGTTATGTAGAATCGAAGTAGACCGTCGACTTCTTTCTAGGTCTTCTGTGCCGCGAGATCTGAGCTATTTTATGTACTTCATATATCAACTGATTTTGTGTCCTCACTTTCTGCTCTCCAACTAGAAGCTACGAAAAAGTCGACATTCTACGTTTTTTAGTGAAGACTTGCTCTGTAACATAGATAAATAGCCAGCAGTGATTAGATCTTCGTTTGGCAGAAACCTGTTGTTGAAAATGGACATGCTTTCAAATAAAATGCTGTATATCTCTCGGTAGAAGGGGGCTAGAAAGAAGTCGACGGTCTACGTCGAATTCCATTTTTCTGAGCTTTCGAATGGTCTATGGACTGCCGGGCGAAAAAACTTGCCAGTTTTCAAAAATGGGGTGGAGATATTTACTATTAGCTTGCTCCACTTAGCTCCCCCAATGCATTGAATTTTATCGGTCACCGGAGCAAGTGCTTTTTAGAGCCGAAAAGCAAGAAAGCCCTAACAAGTTTTATGCCATTCGAAAGCTGAGATCATAGGGAATACATTGGCCGCCTGTTTTTTCATAGCTTCTCTGTGAAGCGAGATACGAGCAATTTTATACGCCTACTCACCAGCTAATTTTGTGTAATTATTTTGCTTCATTTTTGAAAGAAACGACAAAGATAGAAAAAAGAGATGGTCTACGTTTACTGGCAAGTCTTGCTCTGTGATACTGTTAGGGAAACAAGCACTTTTATTCATTATTCGCGCAGGAATATTTTGTCAAAAACGCACATGTTTTTAACTAAAATGCCTGTATTTCTAGGTAGAGGGGAGCTAGAGGAAAAGAGAGGGTCTGCATGAAACCCTTTTTCGTGAGTTTTCTAATGGTATATAAGTGCTGGGTGAAAAGAATTGTTGCTTTTCAAAAATAAGGTGGAGATATTCAATACTAACTTGCTCCACCCCGCTCCTGCTTTCTATGGATCGCCGGATCAAGACTTTTTGGACTGTGAAAGCTTTGTGCACCAACGCTTTAGATAGAATTCGATAGCTAAGAACACGAGAAATCGACTTAGACAGTCTCTTTTTTCCTAGCTTTTCTGTGAAGCGAGATACGAGCAGTTTTTCTGGCTATAACATCAGCCAATTCTGGGTAATTATCTTTTCAAACAAAGAAGGTCTTCATCGAACTTTTATATACGATTCGAAAACTTGAGAAACGAGTAATCTGACTGCTCTTTCATTTGTTACTAATCTCTTTAGTGGAAGAAGATGTGGTATTGTCAGCAAACATGCATTCATCACTAGCTAGTCCAAATTTTTACTCTTGCTTAACTCTTTCTCGAGACAGTATGCATTCATTGATACAATGTTGATCAAGAATCAAACACCCTTTTAATTTTTGATTTTGTTTCTTTAGCAACGCCACTTTGAGTGCGCAAAAGGTCTCGAGCTTGCGTTTTTTTAAACAAAACGCTGCTGATTCGATAATCTCTTGCAGTCTTGATGTCTGAGAAGAAGAGTAGCTGGCGTTTCTTTTCCAAACAAAAAGTGTCATTGTAACAGCTGTTTGATTCTGCCGTTACGCCTTGATTCTCCAACATCAGGTGAAAGGGGTCAGCCAGATGCCGGCCTTAAAGTGGAGGGGGTCAGAGAAACTTTTCCATCTATCGCATCTATGTAAGGAAGTATTGCCTGTTTAAAAAAAACAGGTTTGAAGAAAAACGCTGTGAAGTTTTCGAATTTTTGCTTCTTTCTTAACAAGGATTTTCGCAAGTCTCAATATAATTCTGATAGCCAAGGAACTGCCCAGCACATAGAAACTAACGCCTTGGAACAAGGTTGACTTTGAAAGAAGTTATGACATGAACTCAAAAAATTTTGATCGGACAGAACTTATGCAGCAACTCAATAGAAAAAGCTTTTGAGCACGTGATGCTAAAAATGTATTGTCTGCGTAGCTAGTATGCTAGCTGGGCCAGCGCTATCTTCATATTGTTTATTGATGGCCGGGGGCACTCGAGGTCTCCAGCTATTGTTATTCTTGGCATATACTCATTTACTTAGTCTTGTAAGTCGTGAGGATCCTTGCGTTTCCTATTAACACTGTCGATGTGCGCTTGAGGGTCGCGAAATTTTTAGAGTCTTATGTGAGTCACATTTGCAATTGACTTGTTTATAATTGTTATTAATCAAAACAATTTCTAAAAAATTCTCAACAGCTCATTTTGGCCTTGCAAAAAAAGACACCGTAATCTGGGCTGAGATTGGTATTGTACACTGAGAATATGATAAAAATAGTTATTAAAAGGTTTTGCAGGCTAAGTACCTCAAGCAACAAGTACACTCATAAATTTACAAAAGAAACGGTATTTATGTTTTATTATTTATTTATCCTCGTAGCATTTTGGAGAGCAGAAAGTGAGGACACAAAATCAGTTAATTTTTGAAGCACATAAAATCCCTCATATCTCGCGGCACAGAAGACCTAGAAAAAAGTCGACGGTCTATTTCGATTCTCCATGATCTCAGCTTTCGAATGGTACAATACCGCTCATAATTCGTCAAAAAAGTCGCCGAACTGCGGCGCACTCCGCCACACTCCGCCGCAGTACGCCGGAATGATCGTCAATTTAGCCGTATCTCGCTTCAGAATGGACGAATTCTGAATCCGAGGACACCGTTCGATTCAGCTCGGCGAGACGCATCATCTCATGTATGAAGCTGAACGTCTGTTTGTCTGTTTGTCTGTACGTACGCTCCGAATAGAAAATTCCATTTCTGAACCGATCCAGACCAAACTTGGCACACATACACTTCGGGCCCCGGCGGGTGTCATAGGCTACTTTTCGTCATCGATCGATATCGATTTTATCGATTTTTATCGATTTTTTGCAGAGTTTACGTACGGGCCGGGAGTTGGCACAGGGGGCAAGTGAGCATGGGGATTCCGAATACAATATTAGTTTTCAGGATTATCGATTATTATTTTGGTTGACCTCAGTGTGCTGATAACAGTATTACTATTGATCTGTCGCTGATGACACATAGACAGTATACTATAGGAGTATGGTAGAGAGCCACTCTGATCGAATTTGTTCTAAGATCTGCTCAAGATCACAATACCGCCCACAGAATGTCAAAATTTCCGTGAACTTCGCGGAATTCCGGGATTTCCGCCAAAGTGCGCGATAATCCGGGGAGTTCGCGACATTTCAGGATCCGCGAAACCATGCGAATCACGCAGAGTACGCAACGCCATAACTTCCTTCGGAATGAATATATTCCGAATCCAGAAGCAGCACTGTGTTCAGATCGTCGAGGCAAATATTTTG